CTCGCGGCCGTGGCGCGCGACGGACAGTGGAATGCTGGAGCGATCGCGCCGCGATTCTCCGCGATTGATCTCACCTGGAAATTGACAACGGCCGAAGTCGAATTGTCGTCGGTCGGCGCGACGCGCCGCGATGCGCCTCCGACGGAAGTTGCTAAAGGCTGCTGCAAAGTTCACGGGGTGAGACCGGTCTCCCTCCCCCTCTCTTTGATCGACAATCGTGACACGCGAGTGACAGGCATGAGAGCTGCGGTCGAGTTCCGTTTCCTACTCTCCTTCTCTCCTGCCGATTCCGATTATCATTGGAAAAACGTAGGTTTTCTCTCGCGCGCATCACGCGGAGAGATTTGTTCGCACGAGATTATTAGAAGCGGAAGGATATCGAGATGAACTCTGCGCGAGATTGCGTGAGATTGCGCGAAATGCAACGCCTCTCGCATACGATAAACGCTAATGTCGCATTAATGTCGCATATATAATGAATGATAACGTTAGACTTAGGAAGGGAGATAAAATCGTCACGCATGAGACTTGATCATTCACCGTATTTGGAGTGCAATATGGCGAAAGCTTTCCGTTGCCGGGGATGGAAAGCGGTGTAATTGCAACGAGCTTACGTTTCGATACGCCGCGGATACGCGAAAACAATCACCGTGCGCATTCGTAACGAGCGGATAACTACTTGATTAACGCGAAGACCGTTTTCTCCAGCGAGAAAATCACGCTCGGCGAAATGGATTTCCGCCGCTCATTACTGACTTTGGATATTTTCGGACGATCCTTGTTCGAGATGATGCATTGCTCGCGAACGTGGCGAGCATACTGGATGAGTGACTCGACAAGCGCGATCTCATCTCGCTCGCATTCGTATGTTTAGAGTGCCGGTCGAAAGGTCTTATCTCCTTCGGTTCGGATCATCGATCTTCCTGAAAAGTCGCGACACCGAGTATTTTGAAAAAGTTCGCGCGCGCAAAAGTATCTCTTTTTTTTCTATTTTCCTATGATTGTTCAGCAGTTTACGATGTAAACTTAGCTTCTTTACAACAACTGTGCGCGCAGAAAGAGACAAATGTGGACAGATAGACATGCCATTGCCACTGTTTACGTTCAATCTTACGCTGTTTTCGCTGTTTGACAGGCACGTAACGAGAAAAAACAATGGGGATGCTAATTAAAGCGCCGTGGAAAGAATTTTTTAATTTATTTTATATATTAAATAAAAATATGAATTGCGTGATAATTAAATAAATATCCACGGTTTCGCCAATTTATCGCCAAATCCGATAAATGTATAATTTTTATGTCTAATACTGTCATCTGAATCATTTTGAACTTCTAGCTGAGAATTTTTTACTAAAATATAATTAATTTGGAAGAAACAATATATATTACAATTATTATTTAAGGAAAAATTACATTGTTTCGTGTAAGAAATTAGAGTGTAAATATTTTACAATATTGTCCTCGGGTGCTACGCACTCTTGCTACGCCGCTGCTATTTGACTTTATAATTTGTTTTTACGTTACTGCACTGATGGTATACGAGACCGCATCTACGAAAATTTCGGAAGAATAAGAATGTATCTGCATACGAACGGTAGAACGAGAATAACGAGTCCACCGGGAACCCTCGTAGCGCGTGGACGCGTTAAGCGTTCTCAGTCGAATCCTTCATCTTCTTATATCCATTTATCATTTGTCGAGTTATTGATTAATTCGTTGAATTACATTCGGACAATAGTGCACTTTTGTTTTTAATCTGCACGAATAAGTAATTTACTTTTTATAAGCGGTAAGAAATCGGCATGTAATCGGCCGCGAGTGTAACATCGATCGCGCGAGTGAAACTTGTCAATTCTGCTTAATAAAGCTTTCATTTGTCCTTCTCTTATTTTTTTCTTCATATTACATGAAATATATATACTTTTTAGCAAATTGTTTACCTTAAAATAAAATAGGATATAAGGCAAGTGATCGGAGCCTTGCATTTCCGCTTTGTTACGTTAATAATGAGTCTCACCATTGATCTTTGTGCTCTAAATGTGTCACGAATCCGTTCGTAATAACAAATATCTTGATTCGCGCACGAAGCAGATACACGATGAACGGATCCAGCCGACTTCATCGAATAACGCCGATTACACTTCATTTAAGCCATGCGCCTAATGCGTTTTACTACAAGCGCCAGTTAATTCGCGAGTCCCGGTTACGAGATCGAGCGTGAACGTTTTTTTCTGCATCCACGTGATTGTCTGAGTATCGCCTATTAACGGTGATGTATTACTTCCGTCGCTCTTCGCGTTCCTTCATTAATAAATATCCGAAGTACCGTTACAACATTATGTAATCTAACACGAGTTGTACAACTCGAGTAGAGTGAGAATTTTCAAGTACCTCGGAGTACCTTAGAGTCGTACATTAGATTTGTATTTTTGTACGTGCAGAAGAGTAGATATCTCGGGCTAATTTCAGCCGCACGTGCGACTAATCTCTGCAAGAAACGAATCGCTAAAACACTTGAATTGTTTTCTACATTCTACTTAAAAGTTTGACGTGCAATATTTTTTATCAGTTATTCTTCGTAGATTTTCTATTTTTTTTTCCGCAACTTTAATCAGCATTGCAACTAACCTCTAACTTAAATAAAGATTACTTTGTTTCACTCCGCATAAAAATGTATATACTATTTCTGTAAATAAAATTACATCATATAATAATAATTGTGCATCTCTTATAACTGCGCACCACTTTACTTTTCTGCCGTGCGAGATTATTTTGTAATAATTCTACGTGCGGATGAGTGGCGCATTTATTAAAACTGTTTCTAGATTACATTACTGGAGTTAAATGCTTCGCAAATTATATTTTAGATTTCCTGTGAAAGCTTCTTAGAAATTTCACGACGGATAAAATCTGGCGAATAAACGCCGGCAATCTGAAAGATTTCGCGCGATTACCATCAGTGCTTTCCACGTGTGCTATGTGCTCAACGGCATCTTAAACGTATATGATTGAAAAAAGCCGGAATGGCATTGCCATACTTAATTCCGCTATAAAGAACGCAGATGATAAACATTATGAATGAGCTCGGAAAGGCAAGAAGGAACAGGATGCATTAAGGCTCGATTTATATTATAGAGATGATCGTATGCACGTCCGATTCGCGTTCCGGTTACAATCCGATTAAATATTCTTGGAAACATTTCGATAGAAATACATATGCAGTCATGTTGAAGTCAAGGTACGATCTCGCGTAGAATGTACGATTATTGAGCTCACATGACAAGAAACAGCCATATTCCACTCTAAATATTGATCTCTAATTAAATAAATCATAATACGATTTAGTGTAAGGAAGAATTTTTTAGAAACTCCCGTCTAATAATAATGATGTTAAAATCGTGCCATTTTTTAATCAAACCTTTATGCGTATCACGTGTCGATCAGAATTGTTAACGACTAGTATAAGTCACGGTACGATTTCGTATAATAAACAATTCTGTACGAATTCTAATAATAGTTTTCACGTTACCCAACAGTTTAAATGTCACGCCGTTTCCTATTAAAATCTTTGCACGTACGTTCACATGTCGAAGACCAATCAACCGCTTGAGAGAATATGTTTAGCTCTCAATTCAATCAAAGATAAATTATGAATTAATCAATTTTCGGGTTGCAAAATTTCATCGACACTGACTGCTGGTGTGCGTCTGCTCTAAAAGTGATGGATGCGCGGATGAGAGCGGGATGAAGTAAAAGTTCGAAGTGCACTTCTCTTCCTTCGCTTCGCCCTCAGGTGTATTTCCGAGCGCACTCGTCTCGCCGCCGGACGGTTTTCGCTTGTAGTAGCAAAGTGCAGTCGCATGCGTAAATGCTAAAATAGAATAGCGCGCGCGTCAAACGGCATTACAGGCCTCCTAATTTCTTAGCCTAGCTGATTTTCCGGCTGATTTTCCGACCCGAGCGCCTTGAGACGAGATGTACGGAGGCGCGTATCGGAGCGGATGTGCCTTTGAAGTGGCCGCGGTGCGTTAATTGCCGCGGAGTTTTTCGATCGTTTCGCTTTCCGAGCCCGCCGGGCTCGTGGCGCATTAATGGGACTCGGGGGGAAAAAATTACGAGTGAGACCCCCTCGCGTCGGTTATAAATAAAGCGGGGAGGCCCCCTCGAGCATTTTGCCGAGACTCCGCAATCCCCCCCCCCTCCCGTGCTCGTTGTGTATCCGCCGGTACCACTTGTCTCACTTATCATCCGCGATACTCCCTATCGCTCACTCGCATCTGGAAAAAGGCTTCTCCCGACGGTTCGCGTTGTATTTATGCCGCGCGTTCGACGCTCAATCTCCGCGCGGCGCTGAAATAAGAAGGACGCGACTGCGGACATCCGCTTTTGGAGACGACGTTGATATTCGACTCAACGTTTATCTGCGTTCAGTCATCGCCGCGCGAGATTACCAGGAAATTGGTAGCTAATTGATAGGGCAGGGAGTTGTGCGCAAATTGATACTAATTTTTATTTCCCCTATTGAAAACCGATAACTGAAAATACGGAGGCGATTATATATGAATTAAGATTATATGTAAATTACAGGGCTTGTAAGTCGATTAATGGCAACATGTTTTATGTATCACGAGCGAGAGTAACGGCTTCACATATTTTAAATGTCACACACATTTTACAGATATTAATAGATATACGTAATTTATTCTAATTCGTTGCTAGATATTTTCCGTGAAGAATATACGATAGACAACATCGCCAGTGATATGCGAAAAAGTATCGTCGACGAATATTCAGGATTTACATTCACGGCTTTGGAGAAGCTTCGTTAGTGTCCGCGTTTCTCTATGTTTTGAAGCATTTGATAATTTTGGCACGTTCAACACACACACACACACACACACACACACACACACACACACACGCGCGCGCGCGCGCGCGTCGTTCTTATTTCCATTCCGTGGTTGCCCCGTTAAAACATCGGCAAAACGTCCACGCGAGCAAGCGCGGAAACAAGTGTAAAATGTTTTATTTTCCCGAAAACGTTTCAACTCTAAAATGGTTACAGCAGGCGCATCCTATCTTGGCACAGGCCCAACGACACGGCTTTACCGAGTCAAAGAAAACCCTTGTACTTTCGTAACATCGACAAAGAATCACCGCGGGCGTTGAGTGCGATACATGACGATGTTTTTCTGTCAAGAGAATCACTCGAATTCTGTGAGCAAAAAGTGCGGTTTCGCGTCGAATTTAGCGCCGCCCTGGCGAGCGCGCGCGCGCGCGATAATTTCGCTAGTTTACGAGCGAGTACGGATTTGTAGCGCAAGACAATTATTTTACCTTGAAATTAAGCGACCGGCTCGTACTTGATCTTGAAATTGGCCGAAAACAAACTCGCGGACCCGCTCGGGCGTACGGAAAATTTATGTTCGCGAATTTGTCTGTATTTGTCGGGTGGAATTAATCCGGCGTTACGGCGAACGCATAATTGGATTTCTCTCGAGATCAGAACTCGCGCTAGTTAATTGAAGCACTTATTGCGAGAAGAACGTGAATCAATCTTTTTCAAGAATCAATTAAAAAGTTCCGTTAATTTCTTCTGACAATAACAAGTGTATGATATATTTGGGGCTGTATATAATGTCCGCATTGTATTTTCTATATAATAATTTTTACGAGAGAGGAAGAATTTAATAGTTAACAACAGAGAATCAGTTCTTAACGCTAAGAGACTCTGCTTTGCATACGAATACAAATGCTCCCCCTTGCAATGGCAGATCTAATTAGATTTCCGGTCGAGACGCAGCATCACCGAGGAGTCGCGAGCGAGTATTTTCGTGCGCTTTCTCCGAAATTTTCCGAGACACGTCACTGTCCGTTCTTTCTTCACTTCATGAAAGACGATACTTCCGAATCAAATAATAACAGCGTCTGATTTGCGATAAGACAAATCATTCCCGCGCTCCCTTTTTTTGACAGTAACTCGAATAAAAAAGGAAACAAAAGAACATTGAGGAATTTATGATGACTTTATTGCGGCACGTAACGTAAAACGAGAGGCGAAACACATGCAACACTTCGTAAGCGAGGCGTGTCATAAAGATTTTTCGCTCTTTCGCGCGGGGACGCTCGCCGAGAATATCACAGAAATTTCGGTAACCCGCGAAGGATCGTCGTAAATATTTAAATGTGTAATTTTGCGCGATTGTAGTGTTCTGCAGTTTACATACAAAAGGCAGAGAGGCAGAGTGAGATCTTCTCAAAGAGTTCCTTTTTTTAGAATACCAAAAGGAGATCGCGCGATAAGATATTTTCGGAGCCCGTATTTCGCTGGCCTATTCTTCAAACAAATCGCGGAGATGCGTAAGATCGACGAATTAGATCGCATTGGCAAACCCGTCCGCGGCCGACGTTGTCACTCGAATGTCTGTGCGCTCGAACAGCGAAGATTGGGAACGACACGAACGTGAAAAGAAGAAAAAGAATGCACGGGAAGACTGTTGCTGCAGGATACAGCGGATTGTTCGCAGAGCCCCGTCAACGTCGATCGCACACAATTTGGCGATCGAGGGATTGCGATAAATTTCTTCGAAGGACACTTGTTCGTCGATAAGACGCTAAGAGAAGGAGAGAAATGCGGAAGTACCGTGAGAAGATTGTATCGCGAGGAGTGCAAAGCTGACTAGTTGTTGTTAAAAGAAACTGCAAGCCAAAGATGAACAATAGTCACTTGAGAAGTACAGTATTTATAACAGTAAGAATAAGATTTTTAAAATATCAGTCACACTAATATGTCACAATACATGAGTCGTACGGCGAAAGTATAATTTGTATATTGTTTTTAATCGACGAAAGGCTTTATTGGAGACACCAGCAGTCTACGAAACACGCCGGACTAATTATCGAAGCAATGCGCGTGAAGTATCGCATATTTTCTCGCTAACCAAAGATGACTGCGAGAAAATGGAGCAAGTGAGATAGGTTTCTTTTCCGGAAAGGAAGAAACTAAAAAGGTGCATTTGGCGCTTTTTAACGAGATTGTCGGAAGAATTCATCGTTCCGAGGATTCGTGCTGTAAAAGTGAGCTAGTGAACAGGAGATTTCGGTGCTTTGTGTAATTGTGTGAACAATTCCAACCGGACGCGGTGGAAGACACAGAAGAGCGAACGAGGGAGGGACGCAGAGGAACGTCTCGGGTGCATTATTCTGGGGAATCGTTACTTTCCGGCGCGGTTCGATCCCTTCGTCCGGTATCGTTCGATACCAAGATGCTGGACATATTCCGCAGTCTGAAGAGCCTTATAAAGATCTCGCACATCCATATCGACAGCACTGTCTTCCGTATGCATTACAGCCTCACTGTCATTATACTAATAGCATTTTCTCTGATTGTCACCACACGCCAGTATGTCGGCAATCCCATTGATTGCATACACAGTAAAGACCTGCCCGAGGACGTCCTGAATACGTACTGCTGGATACACAGTACGTACACCATCACCGCGGCGTACCGAAAGAGGGAAGGCTCAGAAGTGCCTTTCCTCGGCATCGATAATTCCAGAGCGTATCCCGACAGCGAAAAAAAGGAATACAGATACTACCAGTGGGTCTGTTTCATGCTGTTTCTACAGGTAATCGATTGGCCGTATTTTGCTTCATTTAGCGTTTCCGATATCGGTTGCTTGCATTCGGCAGATTTAGCGTCGATTATGGTATTTAAATCGCTTGATGATCCGACGAAATAAAAATTTTATGTAAATTACAGCGAAGCATAACGGAATTGAATATCTAAATAGAATATAAAATTTTAATTCTGCTGTTTTTTGATAGCTAAATAATAATAGTGAGCTGCCGATTGCGAGTAATTAAAGTATAACATATTTACTATTTTTGCAATTGAGAATATAAATAATATTATTACTAAAAAAAATCTCAATTTGGGCTTTCTAATGATAAAATTATAACAATAAAATTATAACGATAAAAATAATAACTGTATAAGCCCAGTATATAATTCTGGGCTTATATGGCTATTATTTTTATTGAATATAAATAATTTTTTTGCAAGAATGCTACGCTCTACGCAGATTATGTTTAATACAAAATTATATTACTCAAATGTTACCCAAATTTTTACATTCCTATCTGACAGCGGATATAATAACCCGCCTTTATAATGCTTTTATAATGCATTCCTTTTCTGAACGTTAACCGCCGGTCAGATAAAGTGAAACATCAAGTATGTTCGGCGTCAAATGTGTGGTTTGCATATGAGCCATAAAACGCGCACCGGTGCTTTTAGCACTGCACTCATCAGCATTTCCTACTCGTCCATCAATCGCTCCCGTTCGTGACTGGAGCAAACTCGCATGTAGAGCTCGCAGAGGCTTATAGCTAATCCATTGCCAATAAAGAAACCTTAAGCATAACAAAACTAAACTTTGTCATTGAGGGTCGCCGTGCAGTCGCCTTGAAGCGTTCGATCAAAGACGTCCGTGCGACTGCGTCGTTTCAGCTAAATCGCGCGCGACACTCGATCGCTCAAAAGATCGATAGTGACTGATCCGCACCTCGCGACTTGCAAATTGCTCGGAAAAACTGTGCGCTTCGCTGTAATTATCGTCGCATGTGATGTCGTCGAGCCGTTAGAGTTAAATGTGTCTCGCTCCGAACGCGAAACTGAGCGCTTAACACACACGTGCGATCGCCTGTCCGTCGTGGCGAATGATTTCAGCCCGCGCGAAAGAAACGAAACATCGTTACAGAAAGTAACGTTCGGCGAAACGAGTTAATGGCGTGGCGCGCACCTGAAATAGCGGATCCATAGTATTTTCCTTGTGCGTTCTAGCGCGTTTCTTTCACGCCACTCGCATTGATGTCTCAAAATAAACTTGGTCGACGACAGCCTACGTGTATCCCCCTATGAAGGTTCTTCTTTCTATTTCCTCGCCTCCCTTCGCGTTACTGTGTATTTTTTTCACCCGGCGTCTTAAAAGTAAACTGTACGGTTTACAGCGAGTAGCCGCGCCGCCTCTTTTTTTTTTTTCGCTTTTCCCTTTCTTCGATATATCTCCGCGCGCACTTCTATAATTATCGTTGAGCTAGTTTGCCCTGTTTATCGGACAATGAATTTTATGCTGTCTGTATATATTTTGCCTGTCCTTCATCGCACACTTCTTCGTTGTTCGCCTAATGTAAGTCGTCTCGTTTTAGTTCTGCGGTAATCAGCTTTTACGCAATAAGAAAAAAACCAGAGAAGTTTGTGCGTTATAAATTATAAAATATTAAAAATCTCGAAACTGTTTCATAAGTAATAAATTACGAACGTTGGTTAAAAAAAAAATAACGAAAATAGTAAACACTTCATCGGCAGATTATTGTCATTTCTTCTCAATTCGAATTAATTGAAAATAGAATACAAATATTGTTTTGCCATTTTTTTTTTCTTATTGTTTTCTGCCTCCCGTCGAGTGACGACTTTACAAGTGTCCATTCTGATCCGCCGAAATGTGCTTTTGCACATGATAATGGAGCGTTTAAATTTGTTGCCTGGAACACACGCGCGCTCGTAACACGGTCGATTAAGTATATTTTCGATGATGGCGATCGTCGAACCGTCTTGCACTAGCCGTCCGCGATGCAATTAGAGCGGTGAGCTTACGAAGATCCGTTGCCCGAACAGTAATACAACCGGCGCGTCATGTAACGTAACGAGAACGAATTAAAAGAGAATATTAGGGAGCACATGTCTTACAGCCGTTTCTTATTTCGCGTGGATTTCTTGCGGCTTCGGATAAAAATAGATCTCTACTTTAATATGTTATCACGTTAAACTTGATGACTCATGTATAAAATTTATAGTGTGACTCAAGCATTTATAACACCAATATAATGTATCCGTACAGCGAGAATTACTTCTTTCTTAATCGCGATATACAAACGTCATCAATAATGATGTACTGTTATTGTGCAATTCATAGTTCTATCATAGAGAGACGATCTTTAAAGCGTAGAATTTTCCTACGACATTAAGTTTTATCAGTCTACTTTTTACACTTCAAAATGAAATAAAGCGTCGACAGAGAGCTATTTATACATCGAACATCTGCGGCTGCTGCAATTATTTTTATGCGCTGTACGGTATCACATCAGATCGCGGATAATATACTTTGATGTCTCATCGATCAAACTTTGACTGGCCATGCTGACCCGACGGAAGACAGACGCTTGAAAGATAATATAAGTTATGTGTTTAGTATCGAGGTCAAGGGATGCCTCTCAAGTCCGGTCAGTCTTCTGACAGCTTGCATCCGAGCCTCACGTGCGTGTTTCTTTCCCGACTTCAGTTATCGTATTCAATTTTTCTTTCATAACTGTCTAAATTCATCCAGACTTTTAATTAACTTTTAAACTCAATTTCATCGTAATTCTTCGTGTATTTAAAACAAAGTAGATGGAATTATGCGTTAATATGTTAAGTGAAATATAATGGCAGGTAAATTCGCAGTAAATAATCGGATAAGTGAAAAGCATGAACAATAATTCTTGATTAAAAAAGACGATTAGATGAAATGATAAACGAATAGTGTTTAAGTGCGTCTAGATTTTGTGGTGTGTATATTGTGCTTATAAAAAAACCTTCTTTGTAATTTATTGCGCGTTTTTAAGGGTGGAATTTCTAACAATGTAACGACGATAATATTATGAAAAAAATACACCAAATTTGTTCATCAAACGACAAGAAAAAAGAATAAAGAATAACCAAACTTTGCAAATAAACGAGAAATAGTGTTAAAATTTGAAGAGGGATGTATTGTCATGTTAAACTTAACACGGTGATTCTTAAAAAGGTTAAAACATAACAAGTCAATAGAAAAGGTGACAAAAGATAAAAGAAAACCGAAGTGAGAGGAATAAACAAAGGGAGAAAAGCAAATCAAGAGGAAGCCAGAAGAGCAAACAGTACCGTGTGATTTTTACGACCGTTTATGTACCCACAAAATGCATGCACACTTTGTCTTTGGTCCAGTCACAAAACTTGGAAAGAGTACGACGAGAATTATTCGGGTGGTCCAATTTCATAACAGCATTCTTACATCAATCTGTTTGTTATTTAATTCCGACATTTTGGCTGAAATAATAATTGCGATCTAGCTTTTTAAGCAGCAAAAATGAAACGGAAATTCGGTGAACTGATTCGCAAATAAATCGCATCAATGCAATGTAGCATTTATGTGTATCAAGTACGGATAAATTTATGAAGAAAAATATATTCTAAAAATACACTTGACACATTCTGCAATCTTCTCTCTGTATTTAGAGCAAGAAAATATCAGAAGAGCGATTTAATACCGATGTTTATCTAAAGAATCAAGGCACTCGATAAAAGCTTTCCTTCGCACCGGAAGAGCGAGAAGAATAAAGGGCGGAGGCGTCGCAAAAACGACAGCGGGACGCAAGCGAGCGAAATCAGCCCTCAGGTTTCCGTTTAACATGCCGTTGATGCTCAAAATGATCGATCTGTTCGGCTCGATTCGATCGCTGTTCAAGGTGCACCGGATCGCCGAGGACTCGATGATATTTCGGCTGCACTATCGCGCCACGGTGGCGGTGCTGCTGGCCGGTTGCCTCACCCTCGCGTGCAAAAGCATCTCCGGCTCGCCGATACACTGCGAAGGCACTGGCTCGGTAGACAAGGCCGTGCTAGAGACTTTCTGCTGGCTTCATACCACGTACAGCATGGTGCGCGCGTTCAACTTGAGCCTCGGTCAAGCCGTGCCTTACCCCGGCTTGTCGAACAGCAAGGGCGACGGGGTGCACGGCCACGCGCCCCATCCGCTAGTCAAGCAACACAAATACTACCAGTGGGTTATCTTCCTCTTGCTGCTGCAAGTAAGAATCGAAGATCTCTATTTACCTTTCCTTTCCTTTCGTTGTTCTTCGTGAGAAATTATCTTTTATTATATATATCCTACTCTCTAAATTTCTTGGAGTGAAAACGTACTCGAAAAATTGAGTGACTGGTCGTGTCACTCGAGTTAGAGTGACTTTTCATTCATACGGAGTTAATTCTCTCTCTTTTTGTTGTAGAGTGAATATTTTCACTCTATGCAGTGTGGAGTGAATATTTCACATGAAGAATGAATGATCTGCGTCTCATTATCTCTTGTTCTCGTCTCATTGTTACACGTATTTGGTGCAAGACATCGTGGATATAAATAAGAATATCTATAAAGAATACACGTAGATAGACATATAAAAATGTCAACGTTTCTTCCAGAGGTAAGTACTTATAAGAATTTATGTGTAGTTTATTTACTGATTTAATATATTATGTAAAGAATGGTGTTTAGGTTAAATTGTTTTTCTAGGTTAGGTTAGGTTACAGAAAGAGTAAATCGAGATCTCACAGCATGTGGTTCGCCGTGCTACGTAGCTTCGTCATAAATTCGGTTTGCATATCGATAAACAAGTAGTACAATGAGAAGTAACTTATATAATGATTTGTAGTTCATTAAATCGGCAAGTGCGTACCATGTGCTGCAAAATCTCGGTTATAGTTAAGCCCGTAAAAAAAATTAAATTTTTTCTTTCGTTAGGAGACGTTAAACAGTACTGAAACCTTAAATAAATTTTTATTAAGCAGTGGAATTTCGGAAGACGCCGTCAATATTTTAAAAGGTAAGATTTGCAATAAAATTAAAATTATAGTTTGGTAATGTTATAGCAGTAATATAATTGTGTATATTAATAAACATTAATAATAAATTATATTCTGACTTTTTGTGTGGACGAGCTACATATTTATTATAATTAAAATTATTAGTAAAATTATTTAATAAATATGAAGCTCGTCCACACAAAAAGTCAGAATATAATTGAGGGCGCGGATCAAAGAGAAGTTTTTTCAAAAGTTGGTCGTATTTTTTATTTTAGTTTATTTGTTAATAGTAACAAAAGTGTATATGTCGTTTAATTAAAGTATCTGTTATTTTTATCACACTTTTTGTGTCACTTCAGGTTTTCTTTTAATTCCGTGTTTATAAAATTATTGACTTTAATTTTTAGGTAAAACTTATAAAAAATATGACAAACTTTTGCAAGCTTTTAGATGAGGGAGATATTTTATCTGAGAAATAATAAATTAATTATTTTTACAGATTATCTGATGATGATAAAGAAATAATAAATAACATAAAAATAACGTCTTAATAATGTGTTTATAATATATATTACTTTGTCAATTATAGTTAATAAATATTATTTTGTCTATTTCTTATTTATATACATTGCTTAGAATTAAGACTTATTAAGAGTGAATTTGTTCACTTGTAACAATTGAGTGAAAAATTCGCTTGACGAAAGAATGAAGATTTCACTCTTTGATCGAGTGAATTATTAATGCCGAAACGAGTAATACATTATTCTAACGTAGAGTGATACTTTACTCTACGTTAGAGTGAAACAATCACTTTTGTAAAAAGTAAATTTTTACTCTTTACGAGTGACAGTATTTTCACTATCGCTTGGAGTGAATATCCATTCGTTTGAAGTTAAATTTCACTCTAAGAAATTTAGAGAGTATTTCGCAATTATGTTCTTTTTTATAGATTGTTCTAGAATATCGACAGATACAATCATTTTGATGCATATCATTTTTTCGTCCGTTTTTATGTATGAAAAAATTATTCCTTACTTAACATTTACATCTTTGAACACTATATTTTTCATACAAAGTATTATATTGTTAAAAATTATGTTAAAATGGTCGGACGTTGGTGTCTAAATTAAGATAGCTCGGAAATTGCACGCCCGAAATTAATACAAAGAGCAATATATTTAAGATTGGCGGCAAATGCGTGTATTTATCGTTTATCCATGATTGATAATCCTTGTTCGTAACGTCAATTCATAAATACAGGTTACAGATAGTTCTTCCTTTAAAATGCATATGTACCTTCGATGCTATCTTCGATCGTACCTCCGCCTCCAATACCTCAAGCATTACTCGTCTTCGCGCTCGTACAATATCGCTCTTTTTCTCAAGTCCTTATATTCTATTTATGCGTTCGAGATTCCTACAACTCTCTCGTTCTTTGATTAATCACCGCATCCGTCTTTTATTTTGCAATTGATTACTGCGTATATTTTCTAGACACAGTTTTGACGCAAAACAGTCTGTAACTCCGCATGTTGCTAACAAATTGACAATACAATTATCTCCAGAATTACTGTTATTAATATGATTAGCGTTTCTTAAAATTGGAAATATATTTTCAAAAAATTGGTTATATTTTTAATCATAAAGATTTTCTATGTAGAAGAAATCATGAATTGCACATGTGTGTACGTCGAGATGTCAACACGTAATAGCGTCAAAATTTACTGTTTTATATTATGTTTATTTTTGCACGCGTTAAAAGTAGCTGCACACAGGTTCTTTGTCTGCTTCGCCCTCCTTTCCTCGAAGGCTGCGAGCTCCTTCGCCTTGTTTAGCTAAATTTACTCGGTGCTAACATGACACATAGTTACTATGCATCGGCCAGGAATCATGGCCAAACGTGAATGCGATTCTTTTCCTTTCGAACGAATATTATTTACGTTACGCATATAATCGTGTGTAAGCAGTGCCGCTGGATTGCTACGTATCTCATAAGTTTGCCCAGAGTCTTGCTTTATTACACGTCCATTTCTGAATAATAAGATCGTTAGGCCCTCAAAAATTGTAAAGGACGACTTTGAAAGATAATCGTTAACGAATCTTTTCTGCAAGATTCTTATTGAAGAATAAGGATGCATTTTTATAGAATACATTCTCGGGAGTTCTCGAATTTGATCCGCTTGTTTTTCTATGATACGAGGATTGTATAACTTGTCCAAGATCCGTAAAATGTAAATTAAACGGACTGTTTGATATCATTTTATTTATACTTCTATGTGTATTGCTCGAAGAGTAAATAGCGAGTATGATCTCGTCGATGTGTTTGAATTTATTTACATACCTAAGGGATTTATGTAAATCTCCGAGCTCGAATATGGAGCTGAAAGAAAAATGTAAATGCCCTTCAAGCAGGGTAGCAGATGTGGTTACGCTCGATCCTGGTTGCGAGGGAGAGAGAGAAGAGAAGAGAAACAGATCTATTTTCGGTCACACATTTTCCTTTTCTCTCCACCGCGCAACCGTTGCCTTGCGATAATGCTAAAAGCTGCGAACCGTCGTACAATCGGCCTGACATGCGCGTTTGTTTTACGTTTTTCTTCGTAATCTCGTCAAGAGCGAGGTCAGACCACCCATTCTAATGAATCCTGTCGCCGATACGTAAACTATGTACGCGCGCCAAAGCTGTTAAAGCTATTAAACTGATTATATCGCGCTTTTATTCGCCATTTTATTTCATCTGAAATTTCTTTCTCGCAGTCCTTCAGGCAAGAAATATTGTGTTTGCAAACGATAACCGTTCTAGTATTTGGTTCAATACTTTGTTTCAACACTTACAAGAAAGTTAAATGTCGAAAGGATTGTCGTAAACCATGAGTCGACAAACTTTACAGTCGTATGAGCTACTATAAAAAAAAAGAGATCTTTCAAGATCGACCAAAGTACCGGAACGCTCCAAAAATGAGCAAAGAAAGGAACATCTTTTCAAGATGTTGGACTGCAAAGTGTTTAAAGATCGACCGTTCGCCGACTCCTGTCGTAAACAGTCCGCAGTAAAATTCTGTCGTAACAATCTCGTCGGATAGTCTCAGAACAATTAAACTTTGGACGGCTAGAGTATAAAATCTAGAGAGCTGCTAATAAACTAATATTAATTATTATTGAACTCGGGGCACTGCTCTCTCCGTTCTGTGTATAATAAAATTTTACGCACACATCTGTCTTCGAGCCAAAATAATACACTGTTTCGATATTTCTGCGAAACAACGTGACTTGTTGACAAAGTGTACATCGGAGAAAAGCCATTAAAGTTCTAACATATTTAGCGTCGCGCGGAGCACGTACCACCTACTTTCATTAACAATCGTCCGCGTCTGTGTCACCTTCCGTAAATTGCAATTTAGCTCGAATTTTCTGAACGTTCGCCAACGTACGTAAGGGGCGACGCGCGACGAGCGTACGTATCTATATTCGATCGCGTACTACGGCAAGCGCACGACCCGAGGCCCCTGGCGATAAGCCAGAAAGCTTTATATACCGTGAGAAAGGGTTTACTCCCGCATCGCGGTCTCGATAAGTGCATTGACATCGCGTCGCGGTTTCTAAGATAAGATTGCCCTGATTCAATTAACTCGGATTATTCCTGCCACTGTAACTAATGATATTTGCGCCGCGGTGTTCTGCAATAATATTAAAACGGGAAAGATTACGGTAGCGCTCGGCATTATCATAACAAAAGCGATAAAACTTGACGAGAAAATCCGATTCTAATATACTTATCTCGCGATAGTTATAAAATATCTCTTGACAGCTGTGTAAAAAGTTCATTTAATTTAATTTATTAATTAATACATTTCATAATCTACGTTAAATGTTAATGTTTAATTTTTAAGCGTGTGATGTGCGTCCAGCAAAATAGAATTACCGGTAACTTAATTAGTCACTCGCCGTTAATTCATTGCAGTGCAATTACGCGCCATAAATAACGGCGCGTACGCGGTTTTATATTATCATATAAATAACCGCGATAAACAGCAGCGATACAAAATAATTAAACCCGAGTGTGAAATGCTTTCCGTCTTTCTGAAAGGAGAGGTGTGGCCAGGAATTTTTTCATTAAAAAATTTCATAAAGCAAAGCTCGCTCGCTCGCTCGCTCGCTCGCTCGCACAAGCGCCCCGGCGCATTGTTTTAATCAGCAGTTGTGGGCGCGGGGCACAAATAATGATAACTCGTTTCACGTCTCGATTATGTATTATACGTATAAGTAGGTCCGCCTCCCAGAACATCCCCCCTCCCCCCCGCCCCCCGTAATATACGAGCCACTGGCCGATTCGTCGGTATTTATTCACTCGGCACTTTGCTCGCAGGCGATCTTCTTCTACACGCCGCGCTGGCTGTGGAAGGGCTGGGAGGGTGGCAAGATTCATGCCCTCATGATGGATCTTGACATCGGCCTCTGCTCCGAGGTGGAGAAGAAGCAAAAGAAGAAAATGCTGCTCGACTACCTCTGGGAGAACCTATGCTACCACAATTGGTGGGCTTACAAGTACTACCTGTGCGAGGTCCTCGCGCTGCTGAACGTAATCGGTGAGTAGCACTTCCCTTCCTCTCTTCGCTCTCTCTCTCTCTCTCTCTCTCTCTCTCTGCCGAGTGCTTCGTCAATGTTTGAGTTTTTTCGATCAACAAGTTCGAGTGTCCCGTCGTGACTCGTGCGAATTCCGGAATTCGCAAAGCCGTTAGGCAACCAATATTGTCGTTTGCGGCCAAGCCAGTTACGCGTTGAAGAAGTTTTTTAAGGTATTTCATCATTTCCTTGTTAAAAGCACACCTGTCTTTGCTACAATTAAGAAGCTCTCGCGGCAATCTTTGCAAATCAGTCGATCGCAGCTTTCCATTACATTGTGAACGTACCATTTTAATATTGTTGCAAGCGTCTTATATGTTTAATAGAAAATGTATCAAACAATGAAGTTTAACGAACTAGCTTCGCGCTGGCCCGTTCGCGCTCGTTTCACATGTAAGTACGCATTGCGAGAAAAAGGTGTAATGAGCGGTGAATGAATGAACGATTCACAGTAAAAGTTGGCAGCGATACAACTGGCCAACCGCTTGCGTGCCTGACTACCCCCGATTGGCTATGTGATGGCTCGTCAATTTAATGCGAAGTCTATTGTGCTCGAGTCGCACAATACTAACACAATTATTAACGTAGGAAGTATGGGAATACGATTGTTCGTGTGGGAGTTGGATATAGAAGTATATAACGTTTAATGAAGCGTAGAAGTCACATTCCTTAATCAAATATACGGCAGTTATAGAAATATATGTAATTTCATGGAACGCAAAGTTTTGTGCTTTTAGAAGATTAAATAAATGAAAAGTATTCGAAAATCATGGAAATTCGTGAGGTTTGTTGTAGCTATTTAATTTGATTTAATTTTTCACATTCAAAAATAGCGTTACGGTCGATTATGTTGTTGATCACTAAACGAATAGTTGTTATAAGCGACTGCCAAATTTGCTTCTAGAGTAAGAGAGAGAGGGAGAGAGAGAGAGAGAGAGAATGAAAAATTGTAAAACAACGAGCACATTGTCGCAGGTCAGATATTTCTGATGAACCGCTTTTTCGACGGCGCCTTTTTGACCTTCGGCATCGACGTACTCAAATTCTTGGAGTCCGATCAGGAGGACCGAGTGGACCCGATGATTTACGTATTTCCACGGATGACTAAGTGCACGTTCTACAAGTTCGGCGTCAGCGGAGAAGTCGAGAGGCATGACGCCGTCTGCATATTGCCTCTAAATGTCGTGAACGAGAAGATCTATGTTTTCCTCTGGTTCTGGTTCCTCGTCCTCGGCGTGCTCACTTTCTTTACGATTTTATATAGGGTTAGTAATCTCTCAAAGAACATACAAACACACACACACACATGTACACTCGAAATTCCTAGTATATTCTATAAATACATAATATATTTGTGGTAGAAAGAAAAATACAATACGCTTAAGAAAATTGAAATCCGGACATTTAACGAAGCGAACTCTAGACTTTAAATTTTTCAACTATTCACGAGAGTGAAATGTTCGAGCATTGTGTAATATAATTTTACTCTTCACAGATCATAATAATTTTTTCGCCGCGCACGAGGGTGTATCTGTTGCGACTGAGATTTCGTCTGGTGCGGAGGGACGCCGTGGAAACCATAGTTCGTCGCAGCAAGGTTGGCGATTGGTTCCTCCTTTACATGCTGGGCGTGAATTTGGATACCGTGATCTACAGAGACGTGATGCACGAATTGGCGAACAGACTCGCCACGAGGGCGGGAGTGAAGGGCGAGCTTCAAGAAGCCTGATCGAGGTGAGCGTCTTCCCCTTGTTCTCTTTCGCGCTCGCGTGGGTGCCCCCCTTGAACAACTTGCTCTTTATGACACTGGCATTCAGAAGCGTATTGAATTCTTGAAGAATCGTCGGCGTACATATTGCCGATCGCCTACGTGATATATGCGCGCTACATAGCTTTCGCGTATCGCCGACATGATAAACGGATTTCTATCGCTCGGATACTAAACTGTAATGTCGTGGCACGACATGCATTGTACGCGCTACGTTCGATAAAAATATTAATTTCGCACGGCAAGTATTGCTGCGTTGCGTAATATTTTCAGCAGAGAGAAATTTTGATACACGAGAGAAGTTTAATTTAAATAAATTATAAGTTTTCAATTACAATCAACGTGTAGTCTAAATTTAAATTTTTTCAAGTCTACACTTTTGTGTGCAATTGCTATTTTTAGTATATTTTAATGCGTATTCTAAAAAAAATGTTTTCCAGACAAAAATTCGATTTGAGCCAAGTGTATTATTTCTAATAAGAGACGCAGCGAAGTGTAAAAGGTAACTCGAGACACAAGAAAATTCTGAAAAAAAAAAACAGTTGACGCTTTTCTCTGCAAATACCATCGCTATATCTCTCACGACCCAAGACAAGATATAAATTCCACTCGAAGCAGCTCCGTCTCGAAGACAGGCGTGCAATTCATCAGCATTACTTAACAATATAACGGCAGGCATTTCAAACGATCGACGCAGCGGACTTTGCAAGAAAGCGATGCGCGTCAGGCACGTGCGCGCTCACAATATCACCACGGATGCCATAACTAAGCAGTCCGGAGGGACGCGTGTCTCGGCGCGACGTCCGTAGATCAATTGAGCGTGTCCGATGCAATCTACGCAATCGCCTGTGCGCGCCTGTGAGTCGGACGATTATTGTTGCAGGTTGCCTCGGCGGGTCGGCACGTCGGTCGACTTGCCGCTGCCGCGGTCCTGCCCTCGCCCATCTGCATCGCACGGTCGTCGACGCGATGCGTGCGAACGCCCGAGCCGGAGGAGCCTGAGGAGACGAGTCGACGGGCCATCTTCCTCAAGGATCCGCGGATCCGGTCTCGCGAAGAGGCGCGTCTATCCTCTCCACCGGCTGCTGCGCATCGAGCTCGAAGCGATGCGACAGCGATAGCGCCGGATGTCGGTGACGTGTCCACCCGTCGTCCACGGAAGATAACGACAACTCGCGGTGAGAGACGAGAAAGGACAGCACGCGCTGGTCTCGGAAATTGAAACCGATGTAATCTCGACGAGGTTAGATCCCGATTCTGCGGACGCCCGACAATTATCTTTGTACTTAAAGGACGTTGCTGAATTTGCGATTCTTCCACGATATATCGTTGCACTCTGCTTCGTCGCGCTTTCAGGCGACTGCGCAGTCCCGCGAGCAGAATTTCAAGCAGGAGGACGAATACATTGTTGATGCACGGTTGATTTAAGCAGAAATCAGTCTCCTCGAATTAATTGGCGCAATAATAATGTCACGCCGTAATAATAAGTTCTGTCTAATCTATATCTGAAAATGGATGGACGTGCCGAGAAGAATGTACTTAAACAGGTCGATCGTTTTAAGCGTTAATTGCCTTATCGGAACGGAGACAGTGGAAATTATGTGTTTTGGACTCCGCGAAGCGTTTAGTTTTATCGCATCCGTTACGTGCGTTTAGGGCTATGTTTTAAGATTTATGCGCATTCCAATGGTGTGAGCACGAAGAACTAAACCTGTCGAAATTATACCGGTTTCAATTCCCTGGTTCAGTTCTTGGAGAATGCGAAAGGAAAAGACGTACCGGCGTGTGTTCTGTTCGCGAAAGGAAAGGACCAAAACTATTCCGCTGGCGTTTGCTGCACGGGACACGGGTGATGCGTTATCCTTAGATAACGAACACTCATTAAAAGACACTTCGGAAACGGCGGCGCGGGTCGTCGAACGGATATCATCGAACGACCATTTTATGCCTTCGTACAGCTCCCGCGTCGCCAAAAGACAGGAAAAGAGATATCGAAAATATCGTCACATGGGGTTATTTTGCTCTCGTGTAACTTGCAGTACTGTAACATCGAATCGTATTAATGAATTTAGAAGCACTAGCGAGCGAAACTGTCGAATTTGTCGTAGAGAATAAAATAAAAATTTATAAAATTAGATCTTCAAGCACGAATCTTCTCTTTTTCTTATCACAATGCAGAGATATGTGAAAAAAGATAAAGTAATCCCGTGTGTCGGTATACTCAGGTCTTTGTAAGTTAGCTTTAGGCAGTAGAGCATCCGAGATCGCTAAATGGATGTTGCGTATAATTGTTTCGAACTGTTTTAACATTTTAATCGTGCCGTGCTTCGTAAGTATAAGCGCTAGGCGTTGCGAAAACGTATATTCGGGCGATATCGATCCATTTGGACGATCTCTTTTGATGAATAATTTAGATTTGTCTTTAGAGAAGAATTCTTCTATTCGCGCGTGCGAGATCTCTCCTGCGTGCGATTAACGCAAGAATGTAGTCTAGTCATTACATTCTACGTAACAATCGATCGCGAATTCATCTGTTGATATGGACACACTGCCACCGATCGATACGATCGATTTTGCTGTATCCGTCTTCGTTCTATTGAAGATAGCGTCAAAAATAAAGATACGTTATCGTGAAACTTTAAGAGTTGTTAATTTTGTGATACTCATTAACGATTACGAAATAAATTGTCATGTTATTTTTCGTTCCCTGTTTATGATTTTTATCGATGATAACTAAATAAATATTTCAATAGCACGTTACAATTTAAAGATAGTTTAAAGAAGTGAGAGAATTAATTATTTCTATTAATTAATGAAAGTATATTTATATTTAATATACAGGAGAAAGAGCTTTTCATTTCTTTTACCAATTTACGTTCAGATTAAACCTTTATTTAGGCTTTTTATAGCTTTCAAAACTTTTAATTACAATATTGTGCTTAAAAAAAGTAAAATATTTTTGTTGTAACAATGAGAAGTCGTCATTAACTGCACTTTTTTCATTTCAGGTTGTAGTTTTAGCGTTACAAATATTTAAAATAATAAATTGTCATCGTCACATTCACACACGATCGTTCAATCTGCGATATAATTTCTCTGAATTTTTCCAATATTAATTTTCGGAACACAACGTACTTAAGTAGCAATTAGCATTCATTATATATTTGTCTTACACTAAAATAGAAGTAATATCACCACGATTGTAATATAAATTCCGCTAACATAAGACCGTCTCGCGATTGTCTCCAATTATTATTAAAGACTCTAAATAAATGATTCGTTTGTTGCCGAATTACTTATTTTCATCCGCGCTTGAATCTGCAGGAGCGACATTCGCGAATGCGGACATACGCATGATAGCGACTTCGGTGCGACTTTGAATATTCGAACGCGTGTTGCGCATCGAGTTACGTCGTGCTCGCGGCGTCGGGATGCGTTAGTGCGTGTTGCCATATTCGGCAATGCGACGGCAGAGAGGACCAACCGGTCCGTTGCCCTCTTCTCCTAAAGATTCCGGACATCTCGCAAAACGCGAGGCAATAAGTTCACAAGGATAAGCACACTATCGAATATTAGAGCTCCTTTGCTTTCCTTTCGCTATTTAACATCGCTCTTATGTTCGAAATGTATCGATAACTGTTAACATTTTGTATCCGTGCTCCTTCTTTTCAAATATTTCAAAATATTACTTGCTTCTTTACTAAAAAATTAAAAATTTTTCTTTGCTATTTATTAAAATGCAACACTAATTCTAAAAGAAATAAAAATTGATAAGTTGATCACACTCATAATTAAAAATAGCTGAAATTATTTATTGCCAAAATTTATAAACAATTTTGTAAATTTTAACATTTCAACAATCTTAGTTATCTTCATGAAGATCTACTCAAATAGTTGATTATAAAAATGCAATATCAAAGTTATAATTAAATTTGCATAATATACAACGCGATATGTGCAATTAATCATTAAAAATATTAAAAATAAAATTTTGGAGAAATTGCTACATCTTATTTCTTGCAGCAGCACATTCATGGCGCCCCGAATATCATTTAATTGGACCAAGGACGTCATATGTGAAAGTGAAAGGTCATTACGCGATTCGGGTTTTAAGCAATGATGCAACTTACATCAGCGACTGGTTATGCGGTAAAGTAATCGGCATTACGGGAAAAGCAGCGGTACAAAGAGAGATCCGATGTGCGAGCTTGCGTGCGCCGCTTCGCGCACCGCTCTTGCACCGTGACGAATGCATTCGGAAAACACGTGGGGGGACGCGCTAGGTGTCGCGGATAGTGTTTCACTTGTAGTAGCGGCTTGTGAAAGTCGCTTTACGGGATTTCTCGTGGGATTCGAAAGTAGCGGCGATTTGCGGTGGGACAAAACAAAAAAATAGCAATTTTACGACCACGCGTCACTCGCTCTTCTCACCGTCACTTGACACTGTCGCCGGTGCGTCGTGACGTTTTGACCGGCGACACCCGTTATCGCGAACGCCTTTTTGAAAGGGGCATCGCGACGAGTCACGCTGCATAATCGTTGCTTCGTTATGCAAGGATGATCGTGCGCATCCTAGATGATACATCAGTCCGCAACGCGCGTTGGACGGAATTTACGAGTTCGGTTGCGCGCAGGATCGCCAGCGGGTCGAACTATATCATCCTCCGCGCCATGCGTTCACGTGCACGATGTGACGGATAAATTGATTGAATAATTCAAAAGTATCGAGTATATATAGGAAGTGCCGCGTCCTTTATGCCGCAATCGATTTGGAAAATAAATGACTGGCATTTGGAAAAATAAATTAATAGAAAAAAGAAAAAAAAATTAAAGATTTACAAGGACGCGTGTTTTTTCTTTTTTTTTTTTTACTAAACACGTCTTAACACGTATGATTGTCGCTGCTTCGTCCAGCAGAATTATCATCGCGCGAAACAAAATGATCCTCCGTATCGTGTGTCGATCCGTCGCGGGGTCTGCAGGAGGCGACGGAGAAACTTGTTGGACAAAACGCGCGATCAGACCGGCGACTCTCGCGCTCGTCAACGAGCCAAGTGCAAAACGATCAGAAACGATCCTCCGCCAATAGCGGACGTGCTCCGCGGACGGAGTTTCGAGTGGTCTTTCCAGTTTACAACGCGACCAAAATGGCCTGACAGCGGTATCCATTTCTCTCTTGCCTCCTTTGATCTTTCTCGTTTTCTTCCATCGCCTCCCCCCGTTGTCTTTTCTCTCTCTCTCTCTCTCTCTCTCTCTCTCTCTCTCTCCTCCTCTTCTTCTCTCTCTCTCTCTCTCTCTCTCTCTCTCTCTCTCTCTCTCTCTCTCTTTCTCGGTATCACGGGGTTCTCACCGTTCTTTCCCTTACCCCGCGACTCTTCCGTGTCCGGCTACGCCGGGCCGTAAATGGCGAGCAGAAGGCCTTGGGCACCCACGCCCTTGCTCTCCCCCCTTTTTCTATCTATCTCTCTCTCTCTCTCTTTCGTTTTTCTTCGTTTTCTTTCTTTTCTCTATTCTCCGCCGCGGATCCATCGCGATCCCTTATCACCGACGCTGCGAAATCTACGCGGCGTCGTCCTTCCCGATAGACCGATTTTGCGGTTTGTCGTGCCTCGACGGCAAACGGCTGAACGAGAAAGGCAGTGTTCAAAAGGAAAGGCGCAATCAAACGATAAAAGAGTCCTCGCGGCCGAATCGACCGCAATGCTCGGGATAAAATGTAGAAGATTGTAGTCGGAGGATAGCTGTGCGAATTGCTGAATCCTTTCAGATTCCACGATCCCTTTATTTCCGCTAAATTTCTCAGAGCGCTCGTCCTCAACTGATCGTTACGAGAAGTAAATAATATTCGATATTGCACATATCGCTGCTTTACATTGCGAGAAAAAGTCGAAAAGTGAAAGAATCGTTTTAAAGTTTTTTTTTTTTCTTTGAACGTTCTTTTACTTTTGTACTTTCTCTAAGCAGTCGATACGATAGCGTCCTCAAATAGTTGTTACTTTCGAATTCTTACGTAATTAGCTATATTCACTTTAACGGAAGATATGATTACGCGACTAACATAGAGATGCGAGGATGTGCTCGTTATCCTTATAGCACGCCAGTCTCGTCAAAGGCAGCTCTAGAAATAAGAAAAAGACTTTCCCGCAGAGCGGAAAATTGTAGCCAAATGTCTCTTATTGTTGGATAAACACGTGCCGGAACGAAAGTATGCGAATTGTGCGTGAGACCGTTCGCGATTCCTCAGAGACGACGACGACGGCGTCAGCGTGCCGCCAAGACAGAAGCGGAAGAGAACGCACTGCTCTCCTTCGCGAATAATCGGTCAGCTAAAACGAATAGCGGTTCTTTAGTCTTTACGCTGGAAGTTAGGAGACGAGCTCACGCGTCCCGCACGTCGCTCGGGGACATTGAATCCATCTTTCGCTGGAGTAACGGACGTCAGTTGGAAAGCCGCTGGTGTCAAAAGTACCTGAAACGCCTAATCACGCTGTGCATCTGCCCTCCCCTTTTTGAGAAATTTTTCCCTTTGAATTCAGGGCGCTTTAAGGCCTGTTCGTCGTCGATCGATTGTCGATCGGTTTTGTTGAACGACGATGTTATAAATGTTTTTTTTATAAATAAATGAAATACTATATTTGTACACTCAAAAAAATATTTCGCTGATGTAGTTAGATTTCTAGATATCGCAACAAGAATGTATCGCTATTTTTCGTATCTGTGAAAACATTGTTTGTCACATATAGAATTTATAGCAGTAATGTTCTAGCAATAGCTTCTGAAAAATTTAGGTATCATTGCTAAATGTTATTCATTGCATGATCTAACACGTGATTGATCTTATATAGATAGGCGCTTTAGAGAAACTTTCTTTTTAAAGTTCACAAACAATACAGATATATATTCTGTTTCTGTCATCTAAACTGATTAAATAATTACATATGCAATATCACAACAGTTGCTAATCATTTGTCTGTTTTAGTTAATTTTTTACACCTAGAAAATTTTAGCTATTATTGCAAGATCATTTTTTTGAGTGTAATGAAGCTATTTCTCGGAAGAGCTACAAGAGCAGCATCACTTATTATTAGTCATCGATTTAACAGTATATTTGTTTTGGTTCTTACATATTTCGCGTTATTTAGAAAAAAATAATATAAATTGTGAGCCATCAATCATAAGGTAGCGCGTGCTATCCCTCAGAGAATTTGCGCAAAAAATTAATTATGATTGCTCGAGCTACAATTCAACGATAGCGTCCTCAAATAGCGAGAAGTGAGAAATTATAAAGATCCACCACGGGGATTAAGATTGATCTCAGGTTGCCCACCTCAGTTGCCTGCCCTATTATCACACCTGTCCGCAACTCATCCCATAGATATCTCGCTGACCGCAAAGGAGAAAAAAAGAAAACCCTCCTCTCTACGATTTATCAAGAGGGCAAATCTCCCGGATGTTGACGATCGGCGATTTCGAGAGCCGATGACGGCGGTGCGAGCAGGGGATGTGGGCGGCCGAAATAGGGTGGTAGAAACGCAGTCCGCAGGTAAGGACGCGGCGCGTAAGACTCGGACGACGCGCGATGATCGCGAGTGGGAGAAGAAAAGGCAGCGGCGTAGCGGTGGGTTTTAGTTCGCGCGTCGCGCCGAGATCGCCGAGGGGGGCTCCGTCGTCGCAGGTGAAACGCTCTCTCAGGAGAGCGGACTCAGTTGTAGCCGCGCGATCGCGCCTAGACGATATTTACCTGC